TTTTTTTTTTTTTTTTAACTTTGGCTTCCAAAGATTTTATTTGGAGTAATGAGTACCTTAAATACTTCCAGTGTGACCTAGTCTTCAAAGTCTGGCTCCCACACTACCTTCCCTTCTCTGGGAAATAAAACCTTGCAGGAACTAAAACCCCACAGGACAGTCTGACTCAGCCCTTCGATGACTCTTACTTCTGATTTCCTCCGTTGCTGTCATCTGCCTCGGCTGGACTGTGGGCTCTTTGACTGTGTAGGTCTGTTTGTCTTTACACCCCAAGGGGCCCACACTGTGCTGGGGCTCAGGAGGTGTAAATATGTGCAGAGGAAGAATAAGGCCAGGGGCCGCAGCAGCCATGTCTGCGGTCACCGCCTTTACAGTCCTAGTAGGAACCAGCCAACACTGCTGTCCTTCAGAACCCACTGGTAGGTGTGGGCTGTCAGTGGAATAGTGGTGACGCTAACTCACCAAACCCTTTCTAGGGTGGTGGGGAGAGCACGAGAAGGCAGGTGCAGCCAGCCAGAGACACACCAAACCGCGACTGTCCGGGTGTCTTACAGGAAGGGGAAGAAGGCCCCTCTCCTCCTGTCCCGGGCATTGCCTCTCACTCACAGGATCCAGAACTCAGGCTGGTGTGACCCAGTGTAAAGTGAGGGGTTAAACAGGCCCAGCAGCCTTGCTGGAAAGCGCCCTGCCCTCAGGACGCTTCCCGGGTCCCACACTGTTGATGTGACAGAATAGCTGTATAGTAACTGGAACCGCCCAGTGCACCAGGGTGTCCAGTGTGAGTGACACCCGTCAGGACCAGATGGTAACTGCTCTCTCTTTTATTCCTCTCAGGAAAATGGCAGACAGGTTTTCGGTAAGTGTTTCACGTCTGTTTTCTTACTTCATATGTGGCACATCTAGTAGGGTGAGTGTTGGGGTGTTCTTGCCTCGACTTTCATGCCCCGCCCAGTGTGGCAGGTTTCCCTGCCCCTGCGTGGTTCCCGCTGGCCTGGCCTGTGTAGTGGGGGTGTCTTAGTGCAGGAAGCCTTGTTCTCCAGCAGCAGATGTGAGAAGGGAGCCAGGCAGAGGCCCAGCGCTCGCTCAGAGGAGTAGACTATGACCGGAACTGAGAAACCCTCTGAGGGACAGGCACTGAGTGTCCCCACATTTGTGACAGTTTCCCTGATGCTGATTGGACAGTGCACTGAGGGTGAGTGGAGCAGGCTGTGGTCGTGTACTTCCACCTGAGGGAGAAAGTCTAAGTCTTGGAAACTTGATCAAAACTATTAATAGGTGGGAGAAAGCGTATTGATATGAATTCATACCTTTACCATCTTCTCTGCTTCTTAGAACACACATTTCTGTTTTTGTGAATGTTTTCTATCCTATAATTCTTTTAATATTTACGTCTTTCTTTTCAGCTTAATGATGCGTTAGCTGGGTCTGGAAACCCAAACCCGCAAGGATGGCCTCCCGCGGCCGGGGGCTACCCAGGTGCCTCCTATCCTGGGGCCTATCCTGGGCAGGCACCCCCCGGGGCCTATCCTGGGCAGGCACCCCCCGGGGCCTATCCCGGGCAGGCACCCCCCGGGGCCTATCCTGGGCAGGCACCCCCAGGGGCCTATCCTGGGCAGGCACCCCCTGGTGTCTACCCCACAGCACCGGGAGCTTATCCTGGACCGCCTGCACCTGGAGCCTACCCTGGCCAACCTGGGGGGCCTGGGGCCTACCCCCCTCCTGGACAGCCAAGTGCTCCTGGAGCCTACCCTGCTGCCGGCCCCTTTGGTACCCCTGCTGGACCACTGGTGAGAAGGAATTTCTTGTTCTTGATGTGCAAGGGTTCAGGACACTGTAGCTTTAAAACTGCTGTTTGGAGCCACTTCTTAAGGACCAGTCACTGGTTGTGTTGGTGACTGGAAAAGAATAAGTGTCCATGTTGAGTTTGTTGTGTGTGCTGTATAGAGAAGGTAATGCATCTTTTGAAGGCATTGACAGAGGCCTTTAATAGGAATCAAGTCCCGATCACAGTAATGCAGGAAAGTCTTTACCAGCATCTGCTGAGTGTGCAGCACGGGCCCACTGTGCTTCTGCTCGGTCATCCTCCTTAACCCCTGCCGTCCTGTAAACACTGTCACTACTCTAATTTTACACAAGAGGAAGTGGGACAATCCAGACGTTATGTGACTTGTTCAGGGCCATTGAATGAACATTTGGGGAAAACAAAGTAATCTTGTTTTGAAAATCCTTCTGAAGATAATTTTGTGACCTAAGGATTGAATTTTCATGCAAATTAAAACACATTTTAGCAAGTGAATTCTAAATGTAAAACATAACTCTACGGGGACCCAAACTTGTCTCAGCCCAGATCCTTCCCTTCCCGACTTACAAAGTAGTTGGGAGACACAAAGAGCTGAGTCACAATGCAGCTGCGACCTCCTCAGGGCGGCAGGAGTGGGCACAGAGGAGTGTCGTCTCCTTCGGAGTCAGTTGAGAGACTTCAGAAAAGGCCTGGGGGATGTGAGTGGCATTGAGCTGGGTCTAGGCCGGAGGTGGTTGGTCATATGAGATGGGGACATGAAGGCTGTGGGAAGGGACAGGCTGACAGGAGAGAGATTTCTGAGGAACCCCAGGACGTAGTGATCACATCTTAGGAGTCAGAGATGACTGTGGCTTTTCAAGGCAGGGCAACTAGAGCATCAGCAAAGGTTTAGCCCAAACAGGGATATGGGGAAGGGGAACAGGACAGGTGAAGACAGCTCCAGTTCACGCCTGTTGGATTGCAGGCACTGGAGCAAACGCAGACAGGAGGGAGATAGGATGAGTGCACATCTGGGCTGAAGAACGGAGATGGGGGAAGCACAAAGGGAGAGAGAAGAGGCTGTGGGCAGCACTGGGGATGGTCACAGCACCTGAACACAGGTGGCCACTGAGTATCTGTGGGATGAACTGCACAGCATTAACCACAAGATATTCTCGGTGAACACCGAGAACCTGCCACATGGAACACACTCTCATGGGGGCTGCCGCCTGTCACCCAGTACTGAGGCGGGTGGATCGCCTGAGCAAGAGCAAGACCCCGTCTCTACTAAAAAGAGAAAAACAGGCAGGAGGATCACTTGAGCCCAAGAGTTTGAGGTTGCTGTGAGCTATGACGCTACGGCACTCTATACTCTGCTGATGCTGGGGGCACAGCACCCTGGGCTCAGGAGACCCAGAAGCCCAGGACATGACACAGAACTGACTTCAGGGAGTGGAGCAGCCACCGTGAACTGTGTTGTGTAACAGGAGTCTCAGGAGTGGCACAAAAATGTTAAAGTTGATTGCCGGGTCTAACCTTTCAAAAGAATAGTCTACATGCGTTACGGTGGGATGGCTCTGGGATGAGAGTCCCATGCTCCAGGACAGAGCACTTTTCTCTGATGATGATTTGTGCATGCAGGCAGCCTGCTTCGCTGGGCCCTGAGCAGGATGGCTGGGGTCTGGACAGATGCTTGCACTAGGTTACATGCTTTTCCCACAGATTCACAGTGATTGACCTTAGTGGCATCGTTTTTTTCTTCCCATAAGAAAGCACAACTCCTTACTGATACACACCTGCTTGTTCATTCCCAGACGGTGCCCTATAACCTGCCTTTGCCTGGAGGAGTCAGGCCTCGTATGCTGATCACCATCGTGGGCACAGTGAAGCCCAATGCAAACAGGTAAAGACCGCAAAGTAATGAGCCTGACGTGGTTATTGATCGGTCTTCTGAATGAAGAATGGCCCATTTTGAATTAATTTCTTTTTTGTTGTTGTTGTTGTTGTTTTTGAGGCAGTCTCACCCTGTTGCCCCTGGATAGAGTGCAGTGGCCTCAGCTCAACTCAATAGAGTGCAGTGGTCTCAGCTCAACTCACAGCAACCTCACACTTCTGGGTTCAAGCAATCCTCCTGTCTTAGCCTCTCAAGCATCTGGGACTACAGGCACCTGCCATGATGCCTGGCTAGTTTTTCTATTTTTGATAGAGACGGGGTCTTGATTTTGCTCAGGCTGGTCTTTAACTCCTGAGCTCCTCCTGTCTCAGCCTCCCACAGTGCTAGGACTACAGGTGTGAGCCACCATGCCGGCCCCCTATTTTGAATTTCAGTAGGATTTTTTAAACTTCATATTTAGAATCCCTCTGTGCCTGGCTCTGAGGTTAGTGGAGCCACCACAGCTCCTGCAGCCATTAATACATCTATGTCTCTGGGTCTCATAGACAATGCATAGAACTTGCAGATTCAAGCCATGTTTATTGAAGAATCTATAAACAGCCTCTGTGTCTGTCCCCTCGCAACTAGGGCATTAACAGGAGCCACATCCAGTCACTTCTGATCTGATTACTTTACATTCACACAGCCCATTTGCTTCCCTCCAGCCTCCTCTGTGTCTGCATGGTGGTTACCACCCTTTCCACAAGGCCCAGTGACTTCTCCGAGCACCCTGCTCCCTGCATGACAAAGCTCATCTCACAGCAAGTCACGAAATAACAGTAGAACCTCCATAGCTAACCCCTCCCTGCATTGACTACTTTCTCGAGTTGACCGAATTTCCATAGATCAGACACACACCGCACCATGTGTGCGTCCCAGTATAGCAGGCCTGGCTCCTTATGGTGGCCACCTCCATAGCTGACCAGTGTGTTAGTCCTGTGGGTGCTCAATGCACAGAGGTTCTGCTGCATATACAGAGGGTGCCAAAAAAAAAAACAAAACATAATTTAAGAAAGGAGAAAACAGGCCAGGTGTGGTGGCTCACGCCTGTAATTCCAGCACTCTGGGAGGCCAAGGCGGGCTGATTGCCTGAGTTTGAGACCAGCCAGAGACTCCGTTTCTAAAAATAGCTGGGCATTATGGCAGGTGCCTGTAGTCCCAGCTACTAGGGAGGCTGAGGCAAGAGAATCGCTTGAGGCTAAGAGTTTGTTGCTGTGAGCTGTGACGCCACAGCACTCTACCGAGGGTGACATAGTGAAACTCTGTCTCAAAAAAAAAAAACTGTACTAAATTTGTAATACTCCAGTCATGTTTGACTTCTGCAATTACAAGAGGTGTTCAGTGTGACTTGCACTCATCTTTTGTTATGGGTAGATACTGAGTATTATAATTTAATAGTTTTTCCTTTTTTATACTGTGCATGCATTTTCTGACACCCTCTGCAATCCCTTCCCTTTCCATGTCCATGCTTCCTCCCAGCACACTTTACCCTGTGCATTCTGCCTTGTGATGTGTCAGTATTGGTCCACATCTGCTTTCCTCCTGGCTCAGCCCGACACACGGAACCACCCAGTGCCCTGGCCTTATTAGGGTCCTTGCTCTGGAAAGTTTAATTCTGATAATGCTGAAGATGTAGACTGAGACTGTGAAACCAGAACTCCCTCTGGCTGAGGTGGTGAAGAGCAGTAGACTGAAACCATTTCTGCTTAGTCCTGCAGAGTCAGTATGAGGAACTGCAGGGAAAGAAAAGGGCTTCAGGTCGACAGGGATGGATCTCCACCTGTTCATGAAGAGGAAATAGAGCTCAGGGATCTGCAATCAAATACAAATGCTGTTGCCATTTTCCCTGTGATGTTAACCCCTGGAAGGTGCATTCAGCTGCATGTGGCTGTGCAGGGTGGACACACAGTCTGCTAGCTGGTCTAGCGTGCACACCTGCTTTAGAGCAGGCGCACAGCCGATGCCAGGTCCTCTGGGTGGGCTGCTCCCAGGAGCTCAGCAATGGGCTTAGTCAAAGGACTTGTGTTTCTGTGATATTACAAACAGGGTTGAAGAGTTGAGCTAGCACTTCCACAGAGAGTTGTGTATGTGTATTGTCATGACCTCACACTTGGCAGCAGAGTGCTACACATTCCTGCTGTCTTAGAGGAACTCGGTTTCTGGCTGAGCAATAGGAAGCCAGGGATTTGATAGCTCTTGGTTACATAGTTGGGTTGCCTTTAACAGCTAGTAAAAGCAGCTTGGCATGGCAGGAAAGAGATAACTGTTATCTACAGAAAGACATAAAGTGTCCCCAGAGTGGTTCTAACCCTCTGTAAGAAAACCCTGAAGGGTTTTCCTAAGCAGAGTCTGTAAAGGAGCATCACTGCTGAATGGGAAGGATGTGAGGAAAGGCAGTGAGACTGCGGTAGGACACGGGACTGGGTCTAGTGTGCTTTCCAGTTGGAGCTATTCTCTGGTTTGTTTACTTTCTGTTCAGAAAATGTTTCTATATACTGTATACTGAAATTACTTGCTTTTTAGAAAATTATATGTTCTTCACTTGATATAAGCATACAACTTTAATCATTTTAATAACTTTGGTCTTTGGCTTAAAACAGAATTACTTTAGATTTCAAGAGAGGAAATGATGTTGCCTTCCACTTTAACCCACGCTTCAACGAGGATCAGAGGAGAGTCATTGTTTGCAATTCGAAGCTGGATAACATGTGGGGAAAGGAAGAAAGACATACGTTCTTCCCATTTGAAAGTGGTAAACCATTCAAAGTAGGTTATTACTACTATTACGTATTGACAATGTGTATTTCTCATGGGGAATCACTCTAAAACCACAATGCACTTGAAATGAATTTGTGTCCCCTGTCCTGGGGCACTTAAGCAGTAAACAAGCGCAGTGGCTGAGAACACTGCCAGGAGTGGACATTCCTCCTTTCCATCAGGCACCTCAGCACCATCACTGCTGGTGATGATTAGGCTTTTCCTAGAAATGAAAATAATAGCATCTTAATAAAAAGGGCAAAAAGTCTTTATGGTACAATTGTACTGAGACTTTGTGCCTTAAAGCAATATAGTTGGCACAGTGATCAAAACGAAATTTTTTTATTATAAAATTGTTTTATAAAAGAACTATTTATAGACTCTCTTAATTAACTAAAAAATCTCCCATCCTTCACACCTATACTCATCCTTGAAAAGGTTACAGTTTGATGAGTATCTTCC